GATGGTCACGCCGCAATCCCTTCTCCTCCATTCTCCTCTCGGGATCTTGGGCACACACGCATATGCGCCTGGCGTGAGTTTTAAGCCACCGGGTCCGGGACACGAACCGCAGTCGACTACGTGGGAGTCCAGCGACATAGCCATTACGCTAACTGCTGGTTCCCAGACTAGCATGTGTTTGAAGATAATGTAGTTCACAAATTTTTCTTAAATAATAAAAAAAAAATGTATGTATGTATGTGTATACACGCACACATACAAACACACACACTTTTTATTTTTAAATAAAGAATTTAACTATAGGATGCATGTGCTTGCTGGAGAGACAGAGAGACAAAAAGCCAAAGATCACCCTCCCGGGGGATGACCATGCCACAATCCCTTCCCCATTCTCTGGATTTTGAGCATGTACACACATGTGCCCAGCATGAGTTCCAAGTCACTGGGTCCAGGACATGGTGGTCTGAAAAACATACTGGGTGCATGTGTTCTCCTGAGAGAAGGGAGAGATGGAGGAGGAGGGATTGCAGCGTGACTATTCCCCCTGGGGAGTCCATTCTCCTCTCTGCTCAGCTAGGGATTCTGGGAAAGGCTGGGAGGGGTGTGAGGGAGCCGTTCTGTTTCATATCTCATAACAAAATCATGTGTTTCTTTTATCATCAAAAAGATACCAACAAAAGAAAAGAGGAAAAGAAGGCAGGAGTGAGGGACAGAGGGGAGGGGACGCTGGGAGACGGGAGGCAATGATGTGTATAGCTAAACGAGGAAACAAGCCACAGCTTCCAAGGTGCCACCCGGCCCCACACACTTACCATCAATGTCCTCGCGACATTACAACCCAGGGTGCCGGCTCCAAGCAGCAGACATTTGACGGACACGACCTTGTCTAAGTCTAACGTGGGGACCAGTCTCCAGCACATCAGTTTGAGATTTAGATCCACTGATGACTCGGCTAATCTAGAAAACGAGAGAGGGGTTTATTCCATTAGTCGCTCGTTGGTGTCTCAGTCTCATCCCAAAAGAAAGGAGCTGTAGGAGAGAACGAGGAACAAATAATAAGGGAACTGGAGTCAAAGGGACAATAAGATGAAGTCTGAGGGTCAGCGGAGAAGGAAAAGGTCCCCACAGAGAACACAAGGCTCTTGCAGTCCTCTGCCATGGCGAGTGGTGAGGCACGGATCTGACACGGAGCTCCTAGTAGCCAGGGTAAAAAGGGAATCATGGCCAATTGTAAGAGCCACTATGTTCGTGAATGAAAATGTACCTCCTGCTTAAGAGGAAAGTTTTTCCTAGTACCTAAAACAGAAATTTCTTCCGTGTCTCCTTAGTAAAGAACACTCTCGCATTCACCCTTAAATGGAATATTGGTTTCCACGAAATCTTTCTTAAGATACCCTTCGCTGTAGACCAACAGGACAAAAATAAAGGGCAATGAGAAAAGGACTGAGAGGTGGTTCAGGTAGATGCACAGGTCTGAGAATCTGAGCTTGAAGCAAGAACAAACATCAGAAAGTCTAGAAAAACAGATGAACCGTGTGCCCTTCAGCTCATCCATCATTAGTATTCATTCTCACCACCAAACTTCAATGAAGAGTTAGGTGGTCAAGAGAAGAATGACGCTCACCATCAGTACGAACAGCAACCCCCTGGACTAACCGTACAGTACAGACCCGACAGAATACAGCAACCCCCTGGACTAACTGTACAGTACAGACCTGACAGAATACAGCAACCCCCTGGACTAACCGTACAGTACAGACCCGACAGAATACAGCAACCCCCTGGACTAACTGTACAGTACAGACCCAACAGAATCTGGTGTGTGGCCTGGTAACAAAAAGCTCCACTGAAGAAAACGGCCTCCAAAAACTTACCTTTTAGGGTCCATACAATCACTGAGGTTCACCATCCTTGGTCCCATGCCTCCTTTCTGGTTCTTTTCCCATCCCACTGCTTTAGGACAATCTGAAGGCAAACAAAACACCAAGTTTAATGAAAGGGAAGGATAAAAACAAGGAAGCTAATCCGCAAGCTTGCTTAAAATGTCAACATTCCGGGATAGCAGGTGGCACGATGGCTCAGTCGCTGGATCCCACATGGCTGATGACCTAGCTCCGACGACTTGAAAAACACACCAGGCACATGTGCGTGTGTCCAAAATCCTGAGAGGAGGATAGAGGAGACAGAACGGTGGCATGGTCACCCCCCTGGGAGGTAGTTTCTTGCTTTCTCTCTCTCTGTCTCTCTTGAGTGAGTGCACGGTCCCTATAGCACACGCGCGCGCGCGCACACACACACACACACACACACACACACAGTCAACGTTCTTCATGGCCCATGCATCAATAAAACTTTTAGTTCACTTCTTTCTCAAAGAGGTTTGAGGGCCTGAGTTTCTATTCATTTGCCACAGTTGCTCCCTATCTTCTGCAGCTACTAAGAATCTTGTTTAGAGACCAAGGGACTCATGCATGGTCTTTCTCTACAAGGAGCTTCTGAAATAGCCCTCAACTCACCCATACTCCCTCAACATCTGCCATTGCTGGAAGTTGCTTGAACAAGCTGATCATGTTTGAGGATAGGAACAACCCTGTGAGGGCTCTCTGTCTAAGCAAGGAAAGCTGACGTACCTGCAGCATTCCCATTAGGATTTGAAACTCTAAGTTTGGTATGTCCCTTCTGTTCCACATCCTTACTGTGTCACTCGGCTCAGCCTCTCCAGTGTCATGGTGCACTATGAGATCACTGTCTAAGGGGCCTGTCATTCTATTAAGCTGGCTTCCCCTTAAGCTCATCCTTATCCAGTCAGAATTTCCCCTTCCCTGATGTATCCCTTTTCTGCTGCCCTCGTTTAACCCCTTCTATAGGAGCCTCTGGAACTCCAGATCCTGCAGTTCCCAGAGCATGCCCTCCTCAACGCTCTGAGAGGATAAGGCTCCTGTGGCCACACAGACTTAGAAATGCTCCTACAGTTTAAATCTAGTTTACATCCAGCCCCTACTGTCATCCAAAATTGGCAATTCACACTGCACTTGAAGGAGACAGAAATGCTGAGAAGCCTGATGTAAAGGCAACACTTCTGATTTGGCTTTGTGTTTCCCAAACTTACACAGCTCTCCACATCCTCCATCACTCCATAACACCAATTAAAATGTCATAGGACATACTCAGAAAAATAAAAAACACTGCTCTATCCTATTGTTGCAAATTTCTCTCTCTCTCTCTCTCTCTCTTTTTTTTTTTTTTTTGCTATAGTGCACCTGCGCTCACCAGAAAGACAGAAAGACAGAAAGTAAGAAAACATATCTGAAGAGGGATGGCCACACTGTAATCTCTTCTCCGTTCTCTCAGGATCTTGGCCACGCACACACAAGTGTCCAGTGTGGGTTTTTTCTTTAATCTAACTTTATTTATTTTAATTTAATAAGAGAGAGAGAGAGAAAGTGAGAAAGCAAGTTGCTAGGTCCGTGGTCGACTACGTGGGAGTCCAGCGACATAATCGTTACACCATCTGCTGGTCCCACAAAACTCTCTCCATGATAGCAATTACTTAACAGGGAACACTGAAGATGCAGGACATTTAAAATAATGTCTCTTACGCCACGGCCATTGCAATGATGGGTCGTCTCAGAATTGCTAAAAAAACACGACCGCACTGGTACTTCTGACTTAGATTATGATGTAGAATAACTCTTTATAAAATTTGTATTATAAAGCTGTATTTACAGTTAAGAGGGAAAATATGGCATTTACGTGAAAGACAGAAGAAAATCTGCCTTTCCTAAGCTAAATGATGTGCATTCAGTCATATCAAGTATAAAGACGCACTGAAGGAGGGTAGAAAACTTTCTCAAATGGAAATGCAGGGCACTTTCTGGGCTTGAACGCCAGAGTCACCAAGCACTAGCCATACAGGGCGGAGACTTTATCACAGAAATGCAACGGAAAGTGCCTCCCACAGGGCGGGTGGCAGGATGAAGCGAGTGGCAGGTGGAAGGTGCAGGTGCACAGAACATACACACCTCGTTCCCTGAGACGGCTTTAAGGGGGTTGAGGAAAACCCAAGGCATCTAAGGGAACATTGTGTGGATGCTATTTTAGGACGTGCCAGAAGAGGGAGCCAGATCAAACACAAATATCTACAGCCAGCAGAAATGCAGCGGATTTCTCAGGGCTCTAGCCAAAGCAAACAGCTTCCTCCTCTGAGCAGCTCAGCACAAGGCTCCATCTGCCTCTCCACGATGGCTATTTCAGACATCTCTGCTAGAGCGAAGAAGCCCTGGAAAACTGTCATCTTGGCCATCCCGATTCTTTTTGCTTTTTGCACGTTAGAAAAAGCACCTCAGAAGAGATTTTATCTCCACACATACTTTATACAACCCATGGATTAAAGAAAGGCGTATGCCTGGAACCATGCAGACACTGTGACTAACAAATTACACATGGGGGGACCAGCAGTTGGCGTAATGGCTATGTCGCTGGACTCCCATGTAGTTGACTGAGGTTCGAGTCCTGGACCCGGAGGCTTAAAACTCACGCCGGGCGTGTGTGCGTGCATGCCCAAGATCCCAAGAGGAGAATGGAGGAGAAGGGATTGCAGCGTGGCCATCCCCCCTGGGGGGTGATTTCTCGCTTTCTGTCTCTCTGTCTCTCTTTTTCTGGTGAGTGCACGCACCTTATAGCAAAAACCTCTCAAAACAAAAAATTAAACATGGGAACATACGCTCAACATATAAGTCACATACATATGAGGGACTTTTTTTTTATCAAGATTTTTGCCACAGGGCATGTGTTCTTGCCAGAGAGACAGAGACAGAGAAAGGAAAAGTGAGATGTCACCTCCTCACACTGGGGGAATAGCCACAGCTAAATACTCCAGTCTCCTCTCCAGATTCTGGGCATGCACACTCACGCTCCTGGTGTGTTTTTCAGACTTCTGTGTCCGGGACATGAACCGCCAAGTCGACCCTATGAGATCCGGTGCCTCAGTCACCACGCCACCTGCTGGCCCTGAGAGACTATTTTTGGAAGAAGTATATACAGTACTGGTCTTTATGTGAGATAAAAACTAGCATAAAATACCACCTACTAAACGCCTATAACATGCCGGACATCGCTCTCACAGAACACAGATCCCTCCTGAGAATGTACAACGAGGTGGGCACTATTGCCCTTGCTTTACTCACATTTGGATATGTATTCTATTTCTTTTTCTTTTTCTTTGGAGAGGTTTTTGCTATAGGGCGCGTGCGCTCGCCAGACAGACAGAGAGAGACAGAGAGACAGAAAGCGAGAAATCACCCCCCAGGGGTATGGCCACGCCACAATCCCTTCTCTTCCATTCTCCTCTCAGGATCTTGGGCACACACGCACACACGCCCGGCGTGAGTTTAAGCCACCAAGTCCGGGACTCAAACCGCGGTCGACTACGTGGGAGTCCAGCAACATAGTCATTACGCTAACTGCTGGTCCTATGGATATGTATTCTATTTCTTTTTATTTTTTTTTTTTTGGAGAGATTTTCACTATAGGGCACATGCGCTCGCCAGACAGACAGAGAGAGACAGAGAGACAGAAAGCGAGAAATCACCCCCCAGGGGGGATGGTCACGCCACAATCCCTTCTCCTCCATTCTCCTCTCGGGATCTTGGGCACGCACGCACGTGCACCCGGCGTGAGTTTTAAGCCACCGGGTCCAGGACACGAACCACAGTCGACTACGTGGGAGTCCAGCGACATAGCCATTACGCCAACTGCTGGTCCCATGGATATGTATTCTATTTCCGTGACATAGTGCACACATACACATAGTCACACACACCTCTCTCTACATGTACAATATCGCTCAGCCTAAGTTTCCTCATTTACCAAACGGGGATAATAGCAGATCCCTATCACACAGGATCAAATGAAGACAGTATCAGGCCGTCCTGAAAGTCGGCACATTTTTCTATACGAAAATGCATCATCACTTTCCCCACAGTCCAACAGAAGTGGAAAGAGAAACCGCACTTCTTTTCTCCTTTATAAGAGAGAGAGAAGGTGGGGGGAGGGAGAGCAGGACTTTTGACAGGGTCTCATGGTATCACATCTTCCTGCCCCAGCTTCCCAATTACTGGGTTGTTCGGATTCAGGTGCATACCACCACACCGGACGGTTCTTGGGCTGGCTTAGGAACTGAACCTGGGCCTGCCATGCAGCTTCCAGACTTCCAAGAGGTCGTGCTATCTGCCTGCCACTGTAGTTGGGCTGGAAATGGCCCAGCTTCTACTGACTGACTTACTGTATGAGAATAGGATCACATAGAATTTTTAACTATACAGTAAGTATGTAAGCGTACTTGTACCGGGTTGTCGGAGACATCGTGATGCCTTTTTGCCTAGGAAATACATCATCCTTCCTTTAAGAAGGGACAGGAATGGGGCTGGCAGGTGGTAAGGTGGTTAAGGCACTGGACTCCCACAGAGCTGACCACGGCTCGAGTCCTGGGCCTGGTGGCTTACTTTCGCACTTTCTGTCCTTCTCTGGTCAAATAAAAAAAATAATAATAAAATTAAATAATTATTTTTAAAAAAGGGATAGGAGGGACCAGCAGTTAGCCTAATGGCTATGTCGCTGGACTCCCACGTAGTCGACCGCGGGTCGTGGCCCGGCCCCGGGGGGT